ATCCCCGCTTGAAGAATTTCTGGTATCCAGCTGCTTTTTCCACTGACCTGAATGAAGACACTATGGTATGTTGGTTGCTCCAAAGCTTATTAGTCTTTTTTCCTCGAAATATAGTGCCGGAATATTTCAAATATCATTTTGTCACCAGAAAAAGCCACAGAGACTAAATTCCTTGGACCAATTTGCCTATTCGTTTATTTTTTATCAAGTCTAAATGATGCCGTTACTATCTTACTATGGCATGCATACACCATATAAATGAGTAATGAACTTTGACTAATAGTTGCTCAGGGGGGAAATTACTTGTTTGATGTCCTCTTACCTGTGCTTTTCGTATTTTTCTTCAGATTCCAATTGATTGCTTTGAGGAACCATGGGTTATCTTCCGGGGAAAAGATGGGAAACCTGGATGTGTTCAGAACACATGTGCACACAGAGCATGTCCTCTTCACCTGGGCTCAGTGAATGAGGGCCGCATCCAATGTCCCTATCATGGTTAGTAAGAATTTATAAATTCTGCGAATTGTGTACAACATAAATTTGCTGTACTATACAGGCAATTCCTTGACACTTTAGACTAAATTTAGAAGTTATTTCTGTTGAAGAATAAAGAGGCAAAGAATGTACTTTTCAGTATCTAATGCTTGAAATTTTGCGGTGGTTGACTGTCAGGGTGGGAATACTCGACAGATGGAAAATGTGAAAAGATGCCATCAACACGACTGACAAATGTGAAGATAAAATCATTGCCGTGTCTTGAGCAAGAGGGAATGATCTGGATTTGGCCTGGAAGTGATCCCCCAGCAGCCACATTACCTTCATTACAGCCTCCACCAGGATTTCTAATCCATGCTGAGGTATGCTATGGAATTTCAAGGTTCAGCTGTTGTGAGTACAGAAGTCTGAGTACCGGCATCTGTAATGCTCGTAAAGTTTTAGGAAAGGAGAATGGTTAAGCTCCCTGGGTGTTTTTTTTTTTTTTTTTTTTCCTTTGGATTCAGCTCCTTATTGTTTACTCGCAAATACAGATTGTCATGGAACTCCCAGTTGAACATGGACTACTTCTGGATAACCTTTTGGACCTTGCACATGCCCCTTTTACTCACACTTCCACCTTTGCCAAGGGTTGGACTGTTCCAAGGTTTGCTGCTTTGATTATTTCTGTTGACTTTTTAACAATTACAATCAAATATCTTGCTGTAATCTTTTTACAAAAATCTTTTTTGAACATGTTTGATATGGTGGGTTTGGAATACTTACTCTCTGCTTTTTTATGCTCTGAATTTGCAGCTTGGTGAAATTTTTAACACCTGCATCTGGTCTCCAAGGATATTGGGATCCTTACCCAATTGATATGGAATTTAGACCCCCTTGTATGGTGCTATCAACAATTGGGATCTCAAAGCCAGGGAAACTGGAGGGACAGAGTACAAAACAGTGTGCAACTCACCTTCACCAACTTCATGTATGCTTGCCTTCATCAAGACAAAAGACAAGACTATTATACAGAATGTCACTGGATTTTGCTCCCATACTTAAAAACATTCCTTTCATGCAGTATTTATGGAGGCACTTTGCAGAAAAGGTAAAGGAAAAAAAAAACTCTGCTTCTTATCTGTACATGTATAGTTTATGAAAGCAGTTCCCTTCTTGAATGGTGATTCTTTATTGACTCTTGATGAGTGAATTTTGAAAATCTCCAGAGTTTTAACTGCTTCATTACACTGTTAGTATCAGTCCCGTGTTGAGAAATACAGCAGTTCTGATTTTATCAGTTGCTTAAACAAGGCTAAAGAAAGTGGCCGCTCCATCATTATTTTGATTGGTTTTGTTTGGTTGATCCATTATCTGTTCAAGTATCTTTTGAAGTTGAAATTTACGAGTTCATCAACCCCTAACATTCCCACCCATTTTCTTGATCTGCAAATGGACACAGGTCTTGAACGAGGATCTGCGACTGGTAATTGGGCAACAAGAGCGGATGATTAATGGGGCAAACGTCTGGAATTCACCAGTGGCATATGATAAGCTAGGAGTAAGATATAGGCTATGGAGAGACGCCGTTCAGAGAGGAGACAGACAATTACCCTTCGGCAAGTCGATGTAGATGTTAGGATTTAACTTCTGTTACAACCTTTCAGGAAAGCTCCTCCGCCTGCAAACATTACACTAAGAATTCCTGCAAAAGCGAGCAACCTTGGCCAATTCTGCTGTGACTTTCTGGCATAAAACTCACCGGAAACTGTCGATTGATTTGAGGAACAGGAGATGTTTTTCTAGCTGTCACACAACCCACATTGTAAATCATGATAGCTGTACACTATTTTTATTGGCTTTGTGTACAGTGTCAAATCCATTTTTTTTTTTCAATGTCTCATTTCTCACCCTAAAATTCTACTGAAGTTGATGATGAAGATTGTTTTCCAGCCTTACCGTGATGAGATTTTGAAGTTGAAAATGTACCTTCTTCTAGCACGGAACCTGTGTCGCACCATACCATAACTATGTTCAATGAAAATTCGTAAATTTGGGAAGTTCTTTATTCATGCCATGGCTTTGAATTTTGGTTATCAGCTATATGTGAATTGAAGTTGACTTAATCCAATGTATTGTTGAAATTTCTGAAATCAAAATCAATCTTGATTTGTTCGGATCATAATTTAGAAAATGGGTAAAATAATTCTGATGAGAATATATTTTTCCAGTTTCCAGAAAACTTGCTTGTTCTGTAAGAGAAGATAGATTTCAACTTCTTTTGTTGTTCTTCCTAAAATCCAAGTATGTTCCTGCGAAGTGAGAAGTTGGTTGTTATTAAATTAACATTTCCCAGGAACCAAACAGAAAATTTCCGGGCAAATTTCTTCACTAGACCCATCTATTGTCTAAAAAGTAGGTGATACGAGCAAAAGAAAACACATATTTGTTGGGCAAATCTCTCTCCTCCTCTTCTTATCCTTCTTCAATCATAATTTACTCGAATTATCAAAAAGTAAAAAAGAAATTTATTAAGAACAGAAGAAAGTTTTACAAAGTAACTAGAGATGAGATGATTTACAAGGCAGAGCCACAAAAGGGGCAGAAGGAGAAGTCGCACTCGACAGGCCGGTCACAGAAACGGCATCGCAGATCTCCAGAAGCAGCAGGTGACGGCAGCGTGTCAAACTCCGAATTAGGAGGACGAGAGAGAGAGTGGGGGAAGAAGAGAGCACAATTGTTGCAGTAGTAGAGAGAGTTTTTTCCAGGCCATCTCCAGACTGGAACAAAGAAAAGCTTGAGGACATTGTCGTATTCAACCAGATCAGCCTTTGAGCCGCAACGCATGCATCTCCCTGCACCTGATTTCAGAACCTGCCTCACTTGTTGCTCTAATCCACCCACGAAGAAAAAAAACATTTTTCCCCCTTCCCGATTTGGAATACTACGATGAATTCACTTGTTAGGGTTTTATGTTCGTCATAAATTACAGTAATTTAAAGAAATAGAGAAGGGTTCTGGTTGGTTCTGGCAACAGGATCTTCCTTCTACTCCATTCCGGGTCTACACTTTAAAAATAATTAAAAGAAAATAAAGGTTTTATGTTCTTGACAAGAAATTCTCATAATTAAAAAATATATATTTTTATTAATTTATTAATTTTTTATATTATTTAAAATTATCTATTAAAGTAAATAGTTTATTACATATATTATTTTTAAAATAATCTTTATTTTGAGAAAGTAAAAAAAAAATTAGAATATTTATGTTAAATATAAAGTTATTTCAAAAAAAAATAAAGAAATAAAATATATCAATTGAAATAAATAGTAATAGAAATAGATTTAAAATTTCAACAAAAACTATTTTTA